GGATGTTGCGTCGGCGTGAAGCAAGGGCCCCCATTGTCAACGCTTCTAATCAACGCAGTCAAGCTCACATCGTCTTCCGCTGCCGGTGAGTGACGCCGGATGCACGGTCGCCCGTACATGTCGTACGTTAGTTAGAACGCGCCTAGATTTCCGGCCGTGAGGCCGTTACACGTCGTATCAAGGTCGGCCATCGTTCTTGGATTCTATGGGTGAAGGCGCGTTGCAAATGGATAGACGAGTTGGTGACGGAGGGGGATTTCGGTATGAAATTGTTGTACCTTGGTAAGGTGCGGCGTGTAGGGAGTACGGCATGGAGGTCTTTCCCCGTATGTTCACTGCGTGGGTGCCACTTTGTGTCCGTTCGTGATGTAGTGATGTCGTACATACGTTCGGAGCAACGTTTCTTGCTGTGGGTGTTTCGTGGCGCGGTGTTTTTCTCCTGTCGTGCCGGCAAGCAGCAACAGCGACAACGACAGCAAAAGCACAAAGGCAGCAAACTGCAAAGATAAGGTCAGCAAACACAGATAGAAGCTGCAAAGCCGGCCGATGGTTATTGTTGCGGTGTTCAGTGGCTTGTATTTGTGCGCAATTGTATGATGTGTGAAACAGGGGGGTGTATCTTCGCCCGTGGCAGCTACCCTGCGAAACCCTGCCTTCCCCGGTATTTCGGGGCACCCTCATCCAGTCACCCTAGTCAACTTCTCAGTGGATCGCTCAGGTTCCGCACCCACCACCAGCATCCAACGGAATCTGCCGGGTCGACAGCGGCCCAACTCCATTACTGGTCGGCTCGCAGGTTAACTTTATCCCAGGTCACCACCGTCCATCAGCTAGGGGCGCAATGCCTTCCACCATCGGAAGGACTATTGACCCTAATGGGTATCGATCCCGGGATCTCCCGGGGGCAATGGTCGCGCGTTACCAGTAGTGCCAAACCCTGTATATATAATTGTATGTATGTATAATTGTATGTATGTATGTTTGTATGTAGGTGTTCAAATGTGGGTGAGAATGTGCTCTCGCGCGTGCGTCTGTGTGTGTGTGCACGCGCACGCATGTTTACGTATGTGTGGGTAGGTGTGGGGGTGCTACTGTTTTAATTGTGATGGAATATTCGAAACTGCCCGCGATCCGCCTGTGTGCTTATTAGTATGTTTCTGCATTTTGTGCGCAGCTGCTCATGTTGTTTTGCCGTGCAAAGTCTGTGCTCGTTGCGTCCCCTGCTCGCTGATTAACAGCGTGTGTGTGTGTGTGTGTATTTCCCCGCCCACCTCCCGCCATGATCCCCCCGGCGGTCTGAGCGAGCCTGGGCGAGGAC